GATAGACGTTGAAGTTGAAGGTAGTCGGGACAACAGTAAAAATTGGACGTGTGCAAACGGGGAAGAAATTTTTATTGAAAATACAGCTCAAGCAGAGGATGAGCTCACGGCAATGGAAATTATGATTCAACAAAATAAGAACACCCGAGATGGCGTGCAGCCCATCACTGGTACGACACTGTGTGGTTTTGAAAAACAAGTCAGTGAAAAGCATTGTGATTGTTTGGTTAACTCTTCTGCTGGTGATGAAGACATCACGCGAAATGGACAGGTTGTGATTACAGATACACAGAGGAGTCGACTGAACGAACCAGCTGAAAGACTACCGGCAGAAGAGTGGTTAAATACTCAAAATGTTGATGACAGCGCGTCCAATCAAAGCACAGAGGGCCGATCGGAACAATCAGACATGGTCAAAGAACAATCATCCGACACTGAAACGGCCGAAGTTCCCATAGTCAAAGTTTTCCATCCCCCGACAACGTCACGTCCTACTAGCCGGCGGGGAGAGACGCCAATCGATCGAGGATCGTGCAGCAACAGCGGAGACAGTTGGGTGCGCGAAGGTTCCAGCGGCGAGGACTCCGCATCGAGAGACGAGTGTCAAGCAGATGAAAGTAGTTCAGCATCGAATCCCAAGGCACCTTTGATGGTTTGTAAGGTTAACCCTTTTGTGAACAATGCCCAGCCATATCCGAATGTAGATCGTTGTGAGGATGACCACCTCACGCCATTCGTACAATGACAGCACGGTGCTGATTAGGGCGCGAGTGAGAATATCGTGTGAAAAAAAAGGAAACTGGAAGAGAAAGTAGGAAGAATAGGAATATGGAGGGTATATATATAAGGATGTATGGATAGATGAATGGATGGATGGATGGATGAATATATATTTATGTATATATATATATATCTATCGGCATCCTTCCGTCACGTGAGACGATGGTGCATCACCGTTGGGTTGGGTTGCACACCAGACGTGTATACATATATATATATATATATATATATATATA